CCCAGTTTTAAGTAAGAAGACACCAACACCTTCACAAATTAAGTTGACAACGTTAACAGACAGCGGAATGCAGTCAAATGCGCCTTAACCAATTCATTTGAGAAATTAATAACAAAAATGAAGCATAATCAAAAGTAGTATTGGACTGAGTTTGAGCCATATAAAATAAGACTAAATGTTTAATTTACTAAAGTGTAGCACTGCTACAGCACCTGTATTCAAACCAAAATCATTCTGCCAGTCTTTCTGTTTCGTACACATTAAAGCTTTAACAAGATCTCCTGTCTGTAACCTTAAAACGCTGCAGCAGGTCCTGGAGAGATCGCCTGGGTAAGAAATGGGCACATCTCAGGACGCCCTGCAGTTTGCTTATGTGGAGTTCCTTCAACAAACCCACTGTCATCTGGACTAACAGGGCAGCACTGTGAGGATCGTGTCCTTTGATTTCATCAGTGCATTGAATACAATTCACCCTGATTTGCTTTGTCACAAACTCCAGAAACACAGGTAGATGCCTCCACCATCACCTGGATCTATGACAACCTCACAAACAGACCACAGTTTGTGAGGCTGAAGGACTGTGGATCTAATCAAGTGATCAGTAACACAGGAGCACCACAGGAGACTGTACTCTCACCATGACTCGTCATTTCGTACACTTCAGACTTCTAGGACAAAACAGACTCCTGTCATTTACAGAAATACTCAGATGACTGCAGTTGTCAGGTGAATCAGAGATGGACTAGAGGCTGAGTACAGAGATCTGGCGGAGTGCTTTGTGTCACGGTGTGGGAACAATCATGCCATTTTGAATGTAAGCAAAACAAAGAAGGGTTAAATCATAGCCTACTTCCATCATGAGAGGAGAAGTGGAGGTGGTTGACGAATATAAATACCTCAGTGTTCATCAGGACAACAGACTGGACTGGAAACACAACAGGGAAGCCGTTTATAAGAAGGGACAGAGCAGACTGGACTTCCTGAGGAAGCTAAGATCCTTCAAGGTTTGCAGCAAGATGCTGCAGATCCTCTATAAGTCTGCTGCTGAGAGGGTCACCTCTTCTTCCGTCATCTGTTGGGGCAGCAGCATCAGAACCAGGGACATAAAAAGGTTCAACAACCCGATAAAGAAGGCTGGTTCTGTTCTGGGGATGACTGTGGAACCTCTGGAGAATTTTATGTGAAATCAAGACAATTATGGACAATCCTGAGCATCTTCTTCATGACCTGCTACAGCAGAACCTTCTTACCCACAGCTATCAGCGACTTCAACAACTCTTTGAAACAACAACATATGTCATTTTTCCTTTGGGATCAAAAAAGTATTTTTGAATGGAAGTGAATTGATCAGTAAAATATCTGGGCTTGATTTCTTCAAAAAATTAAATTCAAGTGAACAAAACTTCACTGAGTTCTTTCAGATCAAGTCACAAACGAGACAAACAAATTGTGGCTCTTTAAAAGAAAAACCCTCTGAATCCTGTCCAATCCAACAACTGGAGATTACTTTGCAAACTTCATAGGAATTTTGTCACCGTATCAACCTATAAACTTCATCAAGGGTGATTCCTTATGTGACTTCCAAGTGAAATCCAAAAAAAATACCCAGTTGATTATCTCAAAACCAATCAACCTTACAAGGCGGTCTGATCTCACCATCCTGAGATTTGTGCCGTTTGAGCTTATATCAGACTTTCCATCTTTAAGCTACACGCCACATAAGCTATTCCAGCCGGCTTTGGGCCTTATTTATTTTTCCAAGGAGACGTCGGGGCCAGAACAAACAGAACGGCATCATATTCTGTATATACAGTGAGGGATGACATCACAGGCAGCAAAACGGCCAAAACCGAGACACACACGACTGAAAGAACCTCCAGCCTGAGCATCATATGGACCATGGACCACTATACACACACACACACACAAACACACACACACATGTGCACACACACACATACGCACACACACCCACACACACACACTGAATATCACTTTTAAAGAAAACTACAGGATTAGTTATGTATTTTTCCCTTTTATCTTGCATTAAAGGCAAACTCAACATCAGCGCGTCATTTACCTCGATGTTTAAAAGAGAATAAACCAAATCCAAGATCTAATTTATGTACATTTGCGACTTAAAAGATCATAATTACCTCTGATGGTTTACAGAAACCACTTTCTGTTTACCTTGCGGCAATTACAAAGATAACATCTAGAACTTGCTAATGTCTCAGATAATGATCCTGTATGCAAACGCGGGTCGGACCTTTGTCATCACGGGCAAAACGGATTCATCTCGACACTGATTGACAGGCTGCCTCCAGTGCATCTCTGACTAAACCGACGTACAGCTGGAATGTTTTGGCACAACTTTACCACCCAGCATGTCTATAAAAATAATAATAATAATTAAATAACTAAATAAAGAGGAGCTGGAAGTAGGAGAATAACAAGTGGAGATAATCCCATGTGAGGCCTGTCCTGAATTCTGTATCATTTTTAACTGATGAGCTTTCTTGGGCGACTGCCACGCCAAGCGAGGATGCTCATAAACAAATAATTATTCATCCTAATAATCTTCCATATTCATGTGCAAATAAGATCCCTCCCTGGTATCGCAGCGGCTTCAAGGTTGTATGTGGGAGGTTCCTCTAACTACTGCCTGACTCGACTCATTTCATGCCAGGAACGAGTCCGTCTGAGGGTCAAGGATATGTTCTAGCCAGATATGAGAGTTTTGCCTGAGCAGAGTTTTTTTTTTTTTTTTTTTTTTTTTACTAATAAATGGAAAAGCAAAAAGGATGTTCTCTGAATATTTGAATATCTGCTCACAATGTATCCTATAAAACAGAATATTAAGACGAAAAATATTTTATAAAACACCCTTTAAATAGTTTATATTTTGTCACATTCCAACTATAAACTTTAATGTATTATATGTGATAAACCACAGAATGTGGTATTATTTGTCTTTTTTCAGACATTACAAAGGACGCATTATTTTAAAGGGGCAGAACAGGCACATACCACAATCAAGTAATTATGTTACCGTCAGTTGATATATTCTCAATATATCAAATAAAACATAGAATAAATTTTACCTTGTAATTTAACATCATGAAATTGGGCCTCTGTCTCTTTAAAAATTCCTGGTCTTTCTGAAACTCCGCCTTCAGGAAGTCATCAAAGCATCGCACCTGTGTTAACCCTTTAGTAATGTTTTTACCAGCGTTGCACTGAGAAGTAGCTAGCATAACGAGCTCAGCAGGTGCACAGTTCCACCAGGTGTCTGCTAATTGCTGCTGGCTAGTCTGAAGGAGCTGAGAGGGGGAGTTGTTGGCGAGCGGCTTGGAAGCTGCAGCTCCAAGTAGGAGCTTCGCCTTTACGGCGTAGCTAGCTTCAACAAGGCATTTTGCACAGCTGAATGGTTGCCATGGGAGATTACAGGATTTCTCAAACATGCCTGGTAGAATCAAAGAAACACACTTTCTTGAAGAGGGAATAACATTATAACATGACGTAAACCTTTAAAAAAAATTTCAAATAATATCACCCTTTTAAAATATGAATGGAACCCAGTGAACAAACTAGCCTAGTGTAAATGTGTGTTCCTTAAATCAACGTGTGTTAGAGAAAATGAGTGAACAAACAGCAATATGAAGACCAAGAAACACCAGACAGGTAGAATGATGTCTTATGTAGGGTTAGGTTATAAAACTATATCTGCTTTGAACATCTAACAAAACTCTGTTCAGATCGCTGTCGTAAAAATGGGAAGAGACACAATCAGTCGCCTTCCTAAACCACAGGACAATTGTTTAAACCCTTATGGAAGAGTAATAATAATAAGATGACCAACAGAACTTTCTGACCTTCATGCAAAACGCTGTGGAAGAGAACTAACAACAAACATCATCCTGAACACACAATCCCCATAGTGGAACACGGTAATGGCAGAAACAAAGATTTTCTGCAGCATGGACAGGAGAGCCGGTCAGAGTTGATGGGAAGTTTTGGTTGAAAACCTGTTTGATAAAATCATCACCCAAGACCAGGAAGCTCAATTTCCTGGAAGGCAACCAACCTAAAGCATACAGCCATGACTTAGAACAAAGTATATTCATGACTTAGAGTGTCCCAGTCAAAGTCCAGACCTAAATTTGATTAAGAATCTGTTTGCAAGACTGGGAAGTTGATGTTTGTAGGTGCTTTCTATCCAAACTGACTGAACTTAAATGATTTTTAGACCTGCAGCTGTGAGTGCTTATGATTGTTATTGGCGAAATAAAAAAATTAGCAAAGCATTTATTTTCCTTACATTTCACAATTATCCACTACTTTGCCCCAGTTTATGACAGGATTCATAAAACTCATTTTAATGAGTTGATAAAAATAGAAGTTCAGGCTGTGTGCACTTTATTGTGCACGACTCTTAAGTAAGTTTTAGAAATGTATGACAAAAAAATTCAAAATAAAAATCATTATGCCAGGTGCCGGTCTCTGACAGGTAAAAAAAAAAAAAAAGTCCCAAGCGCTGTGCGTAATTACGTGCAAGTCAAACTGGCGCAGGGCAGAATAGCCCATCTTTTATATAAGTTTTCCAAACTAGGGGCCCCCTCACGTAGCACATTGTAACCTAAGCCCATCTTTCCTCACTCTGCATGACACGCAATAGTGCGCTTCATATATATGTATGGCTATAAATAGCGCAAACTGTCTCGCTTGTAGGACTCCTCTATGACAGGAGTCAGGTTCTCAGTGTGGATGAAACAGCTCTGGGTGGGCTGCTTGGACACTGATTTGGGAAAAAGTTTGGAATTTTTTTTTTTTTTTTAATTCAGTTTTGCATGACGATGAGGGTGCTGGGGGTGGAGGGCCAGGGGGAGGGAAGGGGGGGCTTGGCACACAAGAATGATCTGGATTTTTATATTTCAAAATTGTAAAAGTACAATAAAGTGCAGAAAAATGAGCTAATTATTAGTTTACACAGCACGTACCATTGTGGTGAGGGGAAATGTGCCAACACTCTCAAAGAGCCATTTTCCACTTTCCAAAGTTCAGCTTCCAGGAAAAAAGAGAGAAAAAAAGGTGGAAGATAGAAAAGTGCCTGGTTCTTGTTCTGCTGGGCCTAATGCTCGGCCTGCTGCCCGGTAAACATTCTACGGGTCTGCGGGTCAACTTCCCCCCCTCTCGTTACTTATCCGAACCGGCTTTCTTCGTCCGGAGAGTTTCTTTCTGTTCGCTTTCAGCTCCTCTGTTTTCCTATCACATTCCAACTCCCAGCTGAGCGCGATGATCGAACCTCCGTCGGTCCCCCGGCAGCGGAACGCAGCGACCGCCGACCCGGCCGCCGTCACGAGCCCCGAGGCGGTGGAGGCGGACAGTAAGTAGCCTTCTCTCCCTCTCTCTCTCCGCGCTCACTCGATCAGCTGTTGCTCCTGCAGATTCGGAGGCTTTTCTCTCCCTTCATGCATGCACTCAATCCCTCGGCATTTTCCTTTCTTTCCTTTCTTTTTTTTGTGTGTGTGCTGATCTGAAAGCGTGCAGTTCTTCCTCCACCTGTTCCCTCAGAGTCCGCGGGCAGACCGACCTCTCCGTCCCGAAATCATAGACATCGGAGCGGGCTCGCAGCCTGTTTCTAGTCGACGGAGACGTGACCGCGGCGTGTGAGTGACACCGAGCAGCTGAAATCGAGTAAACAAAGTGCAGGAAAGTAAGGGGGGAAAAAACACGGCGCGGCTGCACGCACGCACGCAGGCAGCCAACCAGGGGGAAGGAAAGAGGGAGCGTTGCGGTATGTCCCGCGGCCGCGGCCGGAGAAGCGGAGCGGCGCTGCGCGCGTAGAGGAGAGCAGAGCAGAGGAGGCTGGTGAATTATTAATAACCGCAGCGGTCCGCAGTCTGTCGCGTTCAGTGAGTAAGCAGGGCGGCAGCTGGGGGTTTAGAGGAATTAAATACGGGCTCAGAGTAAACCGTGGACGCAGGGGATTAGAGGCTCTCACCGGCTACAGTGTAGGGGCAGCTCGGGGCCGACGGCAGGGGGGAGAGAGGGAGGGAGCCGCGCGGAGGAGGGGAGACGCAGGTTGTGGGAGAAATGGTTTTCTTTTGCAAACCTGAGCAAACTAACTTGTAACATAAAGAGCCACTGAACTGAGCGGATCAACCCTCTGAGCTGAAACACGCTGATAAAACAAGCTGTTAGAATTTAACCAATAAAACTGCATGGGGGGGGGGGGGGAGGGGTTTTATTTTATTTTGTCGGTTTTGTTCAATAAATTTGGGTGGAAATTTCAAGTTCACAGCTAAAACACGCGAAATTCCAAGTATATGTATTTTTTCTACTCTTTCAACTGAATCAGTAAAATTTTACAGATTTTTAAAATGGAACAGTTTTTTTAATCAAACCTTGATGAAATGTTTATTTTTTAAAATATATTCTTCATTCAACATTTTCCCTGCAGGGTTGAGATGCTTACACTATAAAAATGAAATTTTGAGAATATTAAATATTAACTTGAATTATTCAAGTCCCACATTAGCTTGTTTTTGGAACAAAACTCATCTGAAATTTTTCATTAGCATATTAGCAGCTATTCTCAATCATAGTACATGATGCCCAACAGCAGAACGGCAAGGCTGATATGTGGCTTATGTTATAAATGAATACATCAAAATAGTGTCGCTAAGCAGAGCCGTGTGACTGTTGGTAATCATTTCCCCAAATGATAAACTCTGACCTGTTAACAAGCTAGGCTTTCGCTAACTGCTAATAAACAGCATATCTTAGTGGTGGTTGTCAGGGTTACGACCAACATACCTCCTTTTGTAGAATGTGGTTAAAATGTTTGTTACTAAATTATTAACCTTTTTAACCGTAAACCAATTCTTTATTTTTGCTTCTTTTAATATGAAAGGATGAAACATTTTGCTAGCAAGTTTGACTTTAGCCCTAGCGGATACCATGTAGTTAAGGTGGGCTGAACCAACATACATTTTGGCTGGATTTGTTAGCAAAATTAAGTCATTGTTGATTGAAATGAACCACACCACACTACGTGTACTGATGTGCCTGAATCATTTTTATTTTATAGGGAAACATTAACACCTTCCAAAATGTATTTTTCAGTGCAGATAACAGTTATTTTCATCATTAATTAAACTTTTTACAGGTGGAGTAATTTGCTTAACTTTAGCAAGAAAAAAAAATGCACAATCCGTTGACTTGATTATATAGCATATTTTAATAATTTGAGTGTTTATTTAAAATACTTTTCTGATTAATTTAGTTTTTGTTTTTTTTTTGCAGCATTTTTACACACAGCCAACCCTGCAAAGTCATACTGCGGGGACCAGGAGTCCATCTGAACCAAATCCTAACAAAACAGCCCCGCCTCGTTCCAACCATGTGTTTTATTTGGTCACGAATACAGCGAGCAGTCTGGGCAAGAAGTTAGAGGCGCAAGTATGCTAGTGTATGCGCAGGTGCGCAAATCCTGGCAGGAGAACAGCGCCTCTGGTAAAACACGATATTAATTCATCACAAATAGCCCAAGAAAGAAAAAAAAAAAGTAGCTGGGGAAATTAGGAAGAATTTACGCAGAGAGAGAGCTACCGTCCAATGCTGTATGCATGAATAAATCACCAAATCGAAGCGCTGGATTTTTTCTCCCTTTACCTTTTATGGAAAATACAGCACTTTTTACGCACGTGCGCAACCGCCGACGTCATATAGCGACAATGATGCTGCTGCCAGGTTTACTGAAACAGCAAAAGAAAACTGAAAAAACGTTTAAAAATATTTTTCTTTGCAAACGTTATGTAAATAAATAAATAAATATTAAGTAGAATCATATAAGTTATTTGTACCAAACAGCATATCTGCATGAACATGAAACATAAAACAGGTTTTGTATTATTAATATCAACAAATAACAAATAAATTATTTAATGGCGTTTTTTCTTGTTTTATTCATGTTGCCATGGCAAACTTAAATGTTTGAAGCTGATTCCAAACTGGGTTTTGTTGTTGTTGTTTTTTGTTTCCAATATAATTTTAACAACAAATGAGCCTAACAAATGTCAGTAAACGTATTTAGAAACACATTTTATAAAGCTACCCTAACAGTTTAGGCTAGAAGTGTGTGTGTGTGTGTATATATATATATATATATATATATATATATATATATATATATATATATATATATATATATATATATATATATATATATAAAAAACAACACATAAAACGCCACATAAATAAAAATAATAAAAATGAAATAAAAGAAAAATTACACAGCTCGATCCTGTGGAAAATTTTTTTGTATTTTCTAACACGAAATATTCACTTTATGTTTTTTTAGGACTCAGACTTTCAGTCATTTTCACATCTGTTTATCTGAATGCGTTTGCTGCCGTCCAGGTATTTCGTTGCTTTCGGCTACTCTGATTTGCAGCTATTTTTATTAGACGCAATGAATAATTTAGGTTAGTCAATATTAATGTGTGTGTGAGGGCGTGGGGCCTTTCCTTTCCGTTTCAGTGTGCGGCCTGCAGCTGCGGGGCCTCTGTGGGAGAAAACAAGCTGGCTCGCGCCTTTCCGCTCCTAATGAGCTCCGTGTGCGGCCGCCATGTTGCTGCCCGCCACGAGCCGCATTTCCTCTTTTTTAAACGAGTCGATCTAGCATTTCGTCTTATTGTTATTCCAAAAGCACAACGATAAAAAGCTGGAGAGACGTGGCACATGTCTGACCCCATTCTGTAACTCTGGTTTACGTACTGATCGCAGACTTTCTTCGTCATTTTTTTAACTGCTATTATTATTATTATTATTATTATTATTATTATTATTATTATTATTATATATTTTTCTGTTAGTCTCGTTTATCTAAACATGCCTGCGTGTTTGTGTTGATCTTCTGTTTGCTAACTGCGCCACTTTTTGTCTTTTTTTTTGTAACTGACAGGACAAGTAACTCTTTGGCCAGGAACAAATTGGATCAGACTAATTTTTAGAACTGATTCATTGAAACTGATTTTAAAAGAATACATACATTTTATTGGTGTAGATTCGAATGAATATTTCTGTGTAAAAACAAACAAAAAAAAGTACTTACTGAACTAACTTAGTTAAATTCTTGAAAAGTTTCTACGATTTGTGACGTCAGGAAATGTCCCTGAAATGTTGTGAAACTCCAACTCGGCTGTGGTTGTCACAGAAAAGAGTGTCTTTCTAAAAAGTTATAAAATTTCTAAAAAATAAAAAAAAGTTTAGAACTATTTAATGGCTTAATTATGAAGCAATTGTTAGTTTTTGTTTCTTTTCAACTTGCTGGCAAGTTCGACTCAAAAGCCATCGTTAAAACTTGGATCCTTGTCCCAACCCAGAAACTTTCTCAAACACAGTCTTTTAGTTCTAAGTTGACATATTAATTCATAACACAAACCACATAAACATATCAGCCTCAGAGTTATTGCCTGAACACCACATTAAATGCTAATATCCAACCAAAATGTTTAGGTTGGACATGCTACCAAAATAAAGTAGCTAATATTGGTAGTGTTTAGATATTAATGAACATTATATTAAAAAAAAAAACTCTAATGTGCTCGATTTAAATTTTTAAGAACTTTTCATGGCTGATATTTCATATCCTCCAAAATCCTTTTTTTTTTTTTTTTTTACTTATAGTGCACCATTCTATGTTGAAACAAGAGAAGCATGAATTTAAAAAACAACAAAAAGCAAAAGGTGATGCAGGAAATTCTTGTGTTTAAACATCTAAGCGTCCTTCGTGTCTTTGCTCCGGGGTAAATATGTAGCTGCTGTCTCGGCCTCGGAGGTTTACACTAAACAGAGAAACAAAAGTTCCGCCCGACAACAGCTCAGAGAGGAATGCTGACCTTGGCAGGGCCACTGGAACCCGGCTCCTGCGCCACAACCTTTTTTTTTCTCTCTCTTTGGGTTTGAATCCAGACACATTTGAACCTGCAACCAATGTCTGGATGGTGCCACTGTGGTCTGAGGTAATCATGGTTATATTTAAGAGGCTAAAATTAAGATTAAGAACCAAGAAAAACATCTCTAATGGGGCTCATAATAATAATGAAGAGTAGTTAGCTCCTGAAACAGTCCAGAATAGGCTAAAGTCAATTTTATATATAAATATATATCATAATTTACTCTAACTGCTTTTTTTCTTTAGAATTTTTTATTCTGTCAATTTATTTAATGGCTGCTGCATTTATTGTCAATTTCACCTCTATTCAGCTTCAACTCACATGTAGATACTGGCTTGGACAAATCTGTTGGCACCCCAAGCGACGCCTACGTCAAAGTCTGGGAGAAAAAAAAAAGTCTTCTTCCTACAGTGGTGTCTGAATAAGGGGGGCCAGAGGGGCCCTCGGCCACTCCCGGAAAATGTTGTGCACCCTAGATAATCATGTTAATGTCACACAGCCACACATATGCATGTTTTTCAACAATGGTATAAATGTAAAACCTAATAAAGAAATAAATATACACACATATATATATATATATATATATATATATATATATATATATATATATATATATATATATATATATATATATACACACATATATATAGTTTGTTTGTCTTATTCCTTAGTTATTTTTTTGCCATTTTGAGTAATAATTTTTATGTAGTAGCTGAAGCAATTTGTGTAGCTTTACTTGATTTTTTGAACTGGGTGAGAGTTTTTCTTCTTATTAGAAATGAACAATGTTCTGTGTTTGTGGGGTTTAAATATGATGCGACTCCGAGGCCTGTTTCTTTAAGACGCTGGCCACTAATTGGGATGATTGT